AAAAAAAAAAAAAAAATCTTTTTTTTAAGGGTAATAATAAATGAGGATGAAAATCGGGTGGTGAACTAAAAGTGTTACAAAAGGAAGTTGATATGTTGATATAGGCAAATCATGACTTCATTGAAATCATTGAGTCTTTAAAAGCATCGCGGAATGGCGCGGACGATAATAATATTATATGTATGGGGATAAAAGATTTTTTTTTTTTTAATAATAATAATTATTATTAATATTAAATAATAAACAGGTTGCGCAAATTGAAATATGTGTTTGCGTATGTTGCGTATGTTGCGTAGTACTTGAAACGCTATTATAAATTTATTACTATTGTGAGTTAGTTAACCCTTAGTCCCTTACACTTTATAAATTACAATAATTCTTAATAGAATGAATGCGTGTGAGAATATACTGTACAGTATATGTATTAAATTAATTGTTATACAAAAAATATGTAGATTGGCGCATTTTCCGTCTTATCTGAAAAAAAAAAAAAATTATATTTTTAAAGACGACCACAAAAAATGAAAGATTTCCCTTGCAGTTGTAGGGACTTTATGGTTTAGGGAATTTGTCGTACTAGTGCATTTTTCTTGCATTCAATCCAATTATAGTTTGATGCTTAATAAGAAAGTTTAACAAAACAAATTCGAATCCTTTTTTAAAGTGCATATTTTTTAATGCAGCCCACAGAACATTTTATGTACGAAACTTAATCATATGGTAAAAAAAAAAATATGATCAGTAAGTGTGGTAATAATAATGTAATAATAATAATGTAATAATAATAATATTATTATTATCTAAAAGAATTTTTTTTTTTTCTTTTTTCAATAATCATAATAATAATAACATGCAAAAAAATTCTTTTTTTTTTTTTTTTTTTTTTCAGCACGCCAAATAATGTGACAACACATTTTTTTTCATTACCAATTAGCCGTTGAACTGCCGTAATGAGAACACAATGGATAATTACCACGATTGCAGAAATTTTACAGTTAGTTCAATATATTGCAGTTAAATACAATTTATAATATAGTTAGTTAAAAAAGCCCATAAAGATGAAAAAAGAAAGGATTAAAAAGAACGAATTATTCATTTTAAAGTTCTTCCCGTGAGATCTTTTTGCCAATTAGGAGACCAAATGAGAATCGACGAATGAAAATCAAACAACTAATACTTTTAATAAGATAAACCTTTCAGAATTCCAAATTTAGATAAATCCAATATTATACTAAACAAATTAGTTGCTTTTTTATTTATTCTTTGTATATGTTACACTTTGAAATTTTTTAACAAAAAAAGAATGTTTATCAATGAAGTTCAAAACTTTTTTCAGCTTAAATCATTAAAATGAATAAAAATGAATCACATATGACCATATTGCATATATGCAATGCAAGAATGTTTCCAGTCATAATTCTTCTTTATTAAAAGATTTTACTGCGTAATAATTTTCCTAATCCATGTTGAGCTTTGGCTCGGGGATTTTGACGTTCCCAACAATTACCTTTTTCGGGGATCTTCTAGGGGAAGTTTGAAGAATTTAAGGTTTTTTTAATTTCTTACACTACTAATGAAAAAAATTTGAAATTTTTGCATTTTTCTTATCTTTCAATTTATTCCATAAGGAGTCATATTTATATATATATATATATATATATATATATAT